CAAACTGAACTTTGTTTTGTAATGTCATATATTTTGTATCTAATAGTTTCATTGCTACTAATATTGGATACATAATAAGGAGCTACTGTGAGTAAAAACATGCAAAAGAGTAGCGCTTCAACTTGGCATTTGCCTTGTAAAGACAATTTATGGCAGAGCTATTAATGTAGCAATCTTCTTGCAAATTAGTATTGATTACTTAATAAAGGCTACTGTAATGTAATGTAATGCAATACAATGTGATATAGTGTATTTAAATGTAATGTTATGACAACTAGTACTGAATACGCAATGGGGGCTTACAGATAATAAATAAAGGACAAAAATAAATGACTAAACACAATTGTAAATTTTGCTTCTGTATTCTATATAACTATTATGAAGATTAGACAAAATGTAAATGTATTATGTGCTATAAAATAAATTGAGGGACACCCACTAAGAATGTACTAGATTGTAAAATACACAAGACATTTAAATGTTAACTGTTTTTTAAATACGTATTACGCTATTAGAATTGTTTTGCTTTTATGGTCGTTCTGGAATTTCAAAACAATCTCCGCAAGCCATTCTGATCTTTTGGGCCGTAGCTGGTGTGTCCAATTTGAAGTCTGTATAATCACCATTGGTTTCCATTCGTACCGAACGAATGGCTTCTTTAACGACAAATAAAACGGAAGCTGCTAAAACAAGTGGCGGTTCACCAACTCCCTGATAGGAATGTGATAAAAAAATAAAAAATTTGATTTATGTAGCGGTAGGTTTTAAGAGTGTTCTAATATTTGATATTATCGCCAATGCCAAAATTACTAGCAATATGTTGCGGATAATGAGAAAACAATGTGTACTTGTTTAGTTTCATGCTTTAAAACAACAAATTAATTCTTACCTTCGATGAAAATACAGCTTTGGGATTGTCCGAATTAGGCATCAAGTGAATGTTAAATTCTCGCGGGATGTCTTGAACTCGCGGTACATTGTAGGTTCCTGGTCCAGTGGACAGCAATTGGCCCTTGTCGGACCAGTGGAGCTCTTCTGTCTTCAACAGTCCATAGCCTTGTAGGAAAGCGCCTTCAATCTGTAACCATATGTATGTGAAAAAATGTGTGTTTTGGTGTTAAGGTAGACATGCAGTTTACCTAACATATATTTTAATTAGTTAATTAGTGTCAAGAGGTCTATATATATGTTTGTATTAAATCTGAAATAATTCATACAAAGCGAATGGGAATGCCAAACAGTGATTCGTATAACTTAAACTATATAGATCACACTTATTATGGGTTCTTTTCACGGGCCATAAAGGCATTGGAAATCATTAAGATGGTTATCGTTACAAGACGACAATGATCTCAGGCCAATAACAATTGGACATCTAAGAACCATAGAGAATTTATAAATAAGGGAACGAACACATTCATCATACACGCACAGCACTAAATGACACCAAATTTGAATTAACTGCAATGTGCGTAAGCACAGTTTAATACAAAGAACAACAGTTTGACAATAAATACACAAATAGCTTCACAAAATCGGCTAATTAAATATTACTGCATTGCCTAAATATTTTAGACGGTTCCGATAAACGTAACCGCGGTCGAAATATGCAGGTAAGGCAGGGGGAAACTGAAACATGGCTTTGTGCGTGTAAGGCAGATGTACTATACCGGACGTAAGATGTCGAACTGAAGCAACAAACGTGGCGACAAACTTCAGACGAATTTGAGAAGCGCATCCATTACTAGTATATGCTATCAACATTCGCCAAAAATGCAATGATACAAAGATATTCAAATTAGTCATATATATGATCCCAAGTGTAAATATGCAATTTGTCATTTTCTATATGTCATTGTGTTGTAATTTTGAACTCCTGATTTACGCGCGGTTCTCTGATGAAGTAACGATAAATACTGCCTATCATAATACAATATTATAAGTGGCAGTGTGTACTAATTTAGTTAAATCGATATATCGGTCGAATTTATACTCTTACAGTATTAGAAATACCCCGGCCGTGTGTTTCCTGCATTCAGATATACGTCCACGTCCAAAGCCTTCAAATAACCATCTTTGGTGAACCCGACGCGATACTTGGCCAACTGTGGATGTCGTCCACCCGTGATAGCCATGTCTTCATCCCGACTAAGGACGCAACGCACAGGGCACCTCGTTCTAAACATGAATGAATGAATGAATGCTAATTAGCTTCATACATCGCTGCACTGAGCTCCTCAAAATAGCTGAAAATTCACCTCTTTGAGAGTTAAGTTTACCTTGTTGCTTATCTACGTTGTTTCATTAATACTTTGTGCATACGGTCATTACTTTTCTATTCAGTTTAGGCATAAATCTGCCGTGATTTTGGTTGATTTTATTTTTCGTTGTCTGGAGTCTTGCCGGTGATCCTGCCAAGATGGCCGCTCCCATGGCAAACCCACGAGGTGGTAACCCGTTTTCGGGTCTTACTCGCAAGCACGGGATTAAGTGCGAATCTGTTGATGGTGTAGGAATTGAGGCATATGTACAGGCAATATCCTCTATTGTTGGGGCAAAGAGTATTGTAGCTGCCTCCCGTGTCAACCGTAGTGTTATTGTTTTTGTTGATTGTGTTACCTCAGTCGAACTGGTTTGCGCTGAGGGTCTTTCAATTGGGTCGTCATTTATTTTTGATGAATCTTTAGTTAAACCTTCTACGAAAGTTATACTTTCCGGTGTACCACCTTACGTTCCGAACTCTCTATTGGAAAGGGAACTATCTAATTATGGTCGAGTACTTTCAGTATTCGCTACGTTCCTTTGGGCTGCAGAAATCCTGAATTAAGGCATGTCAAATCGTTCCGTCGACAGGTGTACATGATATGTGATGAAAATTCGCTTGACGGGGTTATTAATATCACACACGATCAGCGCACCGTCCGAATTTACCTGTCGACGGACAAAATCGTGTGCCATAAATGTCATAAAAAGGGGCATATACAGCGTAATTGCCATGAAAACGTTGAAACGGCTCAAGCAGAGAACACGCTTGACACATCTACACATACTCCTACAACCGACATTATGATTAGCACTGCCGTTAATGACACAATAACTGAGACTACTGAAAATAATGAAAACCCAACTGAAAATGTTGAAACAGATAGTATTTTAATAACTGATAATGTTGATAAAAATAATATGGAAACTGGCGTATGTGATGACGACTCAACTTCGATTGAACCCAGCACAGATGCCATTCAACTTGATGCCACGCGTACAGGTCTTTGTGATGTTAATGAGATTGTCAGCACTGAAATAACTACAATAAGAGGTCGTTCACCAAATAACGATGAGAAGATGATACGAACCCTTCCCCCAACAACTACGCCTCCCGGGGCATCATCTTCTTCCGTCGATGCTCCGTTCATCGATCCGTTTGATTCAAAGCATCAACAACCCACTTTTCCATTTGATGATATGGATGATCTGGAGTCAGTTGCATCGGACTTTTCGGATATGTCTAGCCTACTACAGGACGAAGATTCAAGCGAAACATCAAAGTCTCTTCTGGCGCATGATAAAATACAAAAATTCGTGGATGACCCTTATAGTTCTAAACATTTGATCGCTCTAGCCAATAGTTTTTGTCCGGACCTGCGCGTACTTGTACGCTCTCTAAGTCATTTCCGGAAAAAATAACGACTTCCCTCCAAAGGAACAAATTCGCATAAGGCGTTTGACTTGTAGAATCGCGTCAAGTATCGGCATCTCTAGAATGCCCAGAATTACGAACAAACGCAGCGATAAATTATTAGAGGCAAAACAAGGTATTTGCACTACTGCTGGTAGTAAAATACCTAAGTTGAATTAAACTACTAAGCACTAATAATGAATAAACTTATTAATAAATCAAATAGTTGCGCCTATGTTTTTCTCTATGCACTTGTTCTGTTTCTTGTTTCATGGCGAGCTTCTCAGGAATTACTTGGAATTTACATGGTTGTCGTGATTCTTTCAAGAGATATCAAGTGTTTGAATTTATTAAACAAAACCACTTCTCTGATTTTTGTTTCCTCCAGAAAACGCATTCCGTACCATCTGATGAAGTAAGGTGGCAAGTGGTATGGAAAAGCACCTGTGTATTTTTCACATGAAAGTTCACGTTCTGCTGGTGTTGCCATACTTTTTAAACCAAATAAAAATGTTAAAATTTTGAATCTAAATAATGTCGTTCCTGGGCGTCTTTTGCACATACATGCCGTGGTTGATAGCGTTCTGGTGTATTTAATTAATGTGTATGCTCCGACAAACGGTTTTGAACGTCTTGAATTCTTTAAAGTTATAAAAACGTTTTTGAACAGCTTAAAGCCCTGAACCACACTTTTTATCTGCAAACTTCCTCTCCAATATTTTACGTCGGTTTAAACTTGTTGATGCATGGCGTCAGTGCAACACATTAGCCAAACAGTTTACTTGGAGAAGAAATGAATGCAAATCCCGTATAGACACATTCTATGTATCCAAATCTATTGCGTCTAGAACAAAAAGTAGTTCTATCTGTCCACATTATAATTTCTCCGATCATTGCCTTGTTACACTTTGTCTTTCAATAAAGTCTATAAGAAATCGTAACCCTGTATGGTGTTTCTGTGAAATAATTAATGATTACTGGCTCACATGGCGTAAGAAAAGTCGCATTTCATCCAGTTGTGGTGGGATATTGGAAAACTGAAGATTAAAAATCTTACTAAACAGTACACTTTCAAGTTAAGTAATAATTACAAACAAACTAAACATGTATTACAACATGACATCAATAATATTGAACAGCAAATGCAATCCAATCACGATCTCGTCAATCAGCTCAATGAAAAGACAGCTCTACTTGAAAATTTAGTACAGTCCGAAACAAGGGGGGGCAGCGATACGCTCCAGGCACAAAGTACTTAATGGAAATGATGCTCCAACTTCGTTCTTTTTTAACTTTGAAAAACAGAGGGGCAGTAAAAAAAATCATGTCGCAACTACAAAGGCATGATGGTACAATCGTTGATGCACCACATGAGATGCAACAACTAACTAAAGACTTTTACTCTCACTTGTTTACACCGGACCCTGTGTCTATGGATTGTCAACACAAATTACTTTCTAATCTACCTCAACTTGATGATGATTTAAAAGAGAAGTGCGACATGGATCTCAGTTTTGAAGAGCTTACTGCGTCTGTAAAATCATTTTCTTCAGGTACATCTCCAGGTATCGATGGCCTTCCTGGCGAATTTTACAAACATCTTTGACCAACCTTGGGTTCTGACCTACATGAAGTCTTTCTAGGTTTGGTCCTCCATCTCAAATATTAGAAAATGGCAACCAACCAATTATTACTCTGTTTGTCCGGAACCGCTCTTGTACAACAGTCTGATTCTGCACCCTTTGCATGGTGTGCCACTCACCCTCACACATTTTCGTGATGCGGGCATTGCGACAATTGGAGATCTTGTCACTGGGACTGCGTGGCTGGAACGTGACATCTTGTATAACAAAGTGCCAATATGTTCTAGAAGGCTTTTGAATGTTGCACTTGATGTGGTGCACAGAGCTATCCCACGTCAATTTTAAGAAATTATTGAAAATTGTGACAACACTACAAAAGTCACCAACTCGAATTATTCACTCGAATTATTGTATGAGGATGAAGACAATGACATACTTTTAAATTTTCCACTTTATAAGTTGCAAAAATTTATAAATTTCTTATTTCTAAACTTTATTTTTCAAAGCACACTACATATTTTTACAACGTATGGACATATATTCTCTCATTGGAAAAGGAACATCAGCCTGTTTTTCGCGACTGTTACTTGAAACCAATAA